CAGCTGGGCAGCCACTCTGTGGACAAGAAAACCCTTCCTATATCTTGCCCCCCACCCATCTGAGCTGCCTCCTGCAAGGTCCTCATTCACTGTCACATGCCTTCTTCAGTGCCTGGTCTTTGACCGCGAACAGTGTTGTCCACCTATCTGACCACTTGGTAGCCAGATCTTTTAATCTTCCTGCCGTTTGCTGCCCCATGTGGAGGCAGGAGCTTTGGCTTGATTTCTTGATTGCGCTTTATCCAATGGATGCTGCGGGGGCTCCCCCGGCAAAAAAAAAAAAAAAAAAAGAGGTTACATTAAACTGGAAAGTCTTCTTTCTTCTTGGAATGTCTTAATGTATTGGATTACACAACGAAAATTTAAAGAGTATAGCCAGGTCCCTCTAGGCTTCTGCACCTGTAACATGTTTTATAAAATGTTGGATGCATGACACTAATTATCTCAGTTCACCTTAGCACTTGATAGTTTGGCTTTGATATTAATATGCAGCCAGGTAAAACATGGCTACTCTAACAGTGTATGAGAATGTAATGTTTGACATAACCATTTGATTATATGCGTGTGTAGCTTCGAAATTAGGTCAGTCCTTAGTAATGCAACATATCTGAACAGTAGGGTACTGTATGATAGTGCACTTAGCAAGCATGTTATCGCATGTATAGTTATTGTCTGCATGATGCACAAGTGACCATACGGGGTATCATAACAGGTATTTGTCAAAACCTGACAGGAAGGGGCTACCCTAGAAAAGTATTTCTGTCTCCAAACCAGATTTATAGCTGCTGGGAGGCACACTGTGAGCAGCTCCAAAGAACAGAAGCAAGATAAACCTTAAATTGCTGAAAAATCAAAATATAACTAATACAGAACAAATCAGAAAGTGGTTGTCGATTCTCTTGCAAAGGCTTCCCCCCCAAACCCACCCAGAAGCACACATTAGAATATCTATACTCTACAAGTCAGATACATTTAGAAAAACATAATTTTCCTGAGGTGTGAGAACTCAGATGTGGGGAATTTTATTATCATTCTCAATATCAGGAAAAAAAAAATCTGCAATATTTCTTTTTCTGGCAGACATATGTTGCCCCCTGTGTATGGTTTCTCTTCATTGCATGTTTTAAGGGTGAACGTTGCAATTAATTATTAAAAGAATGGACTAAAAATGATTTTCTGAAGCTACAGCTATAACCTTTTAGGGCCAGATACGGAGTGGACCCTGCAGAGTTAACAAGAGCAGGGCAAATAACCAGACGTAAGCAACCCCTTCGCGGAGGGGTGTGTGAGGTGTGGGAGAGACCACAGCGAAGGAGGTGGGACTCTGGCACCTTCCTGAGCTGATGAGCAGAGCTGGTTGATTGGAGAGGGAAATGCATATATCAGCACCTTCAAGGATCTCAATAAGCTTAACATTTTGCTTCCAATACATACTTCTTATCTTTGTCTTTACAACTCACATAATGCATTACAATTTAAAGGTATATCCATTACAGTCTCCACCCCTGGTCCCTTTAGGTGAGCTTATAGGGTTTAACATTGCAACGAACTCCTCCCCTTGCCCCTACTTCTGCCTGGACTTATCCAAAGACTGCAGTCCCTTTGGGCTGTACCTGCTCCAAGTAGAGCCTTATCAATGAGCCACAGTCTCTCTGGGGCTGTTTCTCCTCAGGGAATTTGAAAATTTTGATGTATACAAGTTCACACATCAGAATGGTATCTGTATTTTTTTCTCTTTTGTATCTTTCTCCAAAAAGTAGAGAAGAAACACCTTTTTTTTTCCCCCCCCTAACTGAAAGGTGCTCCTGTAAATCCACAAGTATTGGAAAGGCAAATGCAATAATCTAAGCTCATTTTTTAATTGCCCAGTTTCCAAATGGATTAAGTGGTCTTAAGGGCTAATGCAATATTGTTTCTCAGTAGAAGTCAAGTAGACCCTTTTTTATACAGCCTTTCTCTGCAGAGAATTGCCCTCAATAACAGAATCAACTTCTCAAAAACTGATACGGCTGTAATGGCACATTTTCATTATTATCTGCTTTATCTATGGTTGCCAAACTCTATTTAGATGAACACTGTAAATTTATTAAGAATAAGAAAATATAAAATATTGTTGTGTCTTTGTAATTTCCATGCTTCATTTTAGTCTGCCAGAACAAAGCAACTAAATGACATCGTTAAGTTCAAGGATTCACCTTTGCCTGAACTTGTAAGAATGAGAGATAGCAGAAATTTCCTGTTTTACACACAAAAAAATCACTATGGCATGACCTGGACCTTGTTAATAAAGAGCACAAACTTTTCAATTAATTCTGTGTCTTCTCAATGAGGAGTTTAAAGTTCTTATCCTGTGGATATGATTTTAAGTGTAGCATCAGTGCTTTCACACAGTTGGATCTAAATAAACACTGGAATCTAGGACTTGTATGGGCCCTCTCACTTTGGGTTACTAGCAAATCTATAGGATTGTCTTGAAATGACTGCGTTTAGATAAATAATAAAAGGTGTTGCTGTGGTTTAGCCCCAGCTGGCAGCTAAGAACCACTCAGCCTCTCG